CTCTGAATTTCTGTCGTCAGCAGCAAAGCAAGCGCGCAAGCGCCTCTCTATGATACTAAAGGAACACTGTGCGTGTGTCCGGCGGTGGACCTGTAATACGGTGAGTAGTTTTTGCATGAAATTTGCACACGACCGAGATCCGCCGGCTGGGCTTGACAGAGTTGCGTCAAATCTTTCATTTCGCGAAAATGAGCGCATGCCGAAAAGGGGCCAAATCCCATAGGGCGACGCGGGTACACTTTCATTCGCATTACGGGTTTCTGGAAAGCACCGTTGCGTCGCAAATTGCACGACAATTTGCAAGATGCCAAGTTTTCATCATCGAAATGGTACGGTCACACGTATGACACGGCACGGCCCTGCAGATTGATTTTGTTTTTTCCACGGGTCTGCACCTTTTGTGCCACATTAGCTGTGAAACTGTATTTTGCCGATTTCGTCCCTTTTTACGCTTAACGCGAAATTTCCGGTCTTATCACACGTAGTAACACGATACTGGCAAGCTGCGATAGGCCATTCAACGGGAAATGCCACGGTCACATGTGTCACAAGTGCGAGGTGGCACGTTGCACGTGTCGGGCGCACACGAGCCAAGAAGATGGCTTTTGCTTTTTCGACGGGTTTACACACTTTGTGCCACATTTTGGCACCCAGGGCACGGAGGTACTGGAAAATGGCACGCATTTATAACAAATAGAATAGATAATGGCGTTGCATTAATTGTCACGTCGCACGTGCTGTATGGATTGATGGGGAACCGAACAATCACGTGGTGTAGATTGTAGCATCATGTATGCGCTAGCTAGGAAAATTGCTTTCGCCGATACCGACCGTTTTTCACTCTTCGATACAATGCAATAAATACTGTTTGATACAACGGCAGTGCGTGCTGCCATCATTCAAAAGGCTGACAGTTGGTGGAATGCACGCAAATAACCGGCCACGTCCCGCAATCAATCGCCGATCCCAAGGAACATGCGTGCCTGTGTTGCAAAGAGGGCAGGTAGAATGCGCTGTCCCGCAGAGGGTGCCGACGCTGCGCGCGGCCCGTGGCCGAGTGTTTCACGTTTTGAGCCGTATCTCGGCAACGAGAGCACAGAGATCCATGATTTAAGCTGGAAAACATACGCAACTGCAAATTTACGTTTTCATTATGTGCGCAGCGAAGCAAGCACGCAAGCGCTTGCCTACTATGGTAAAGGAACAGTGTGTGTGTGTGTCCGTCAGTAGACCTACAGGCTTCACTTTCAGGAGTTTTCGCATCAAGTTTGCACACGACCGAGATCCGCTGGCTGCGCTTGGCGGAGTTGCGTCAAATTTTCGCATTTCGCAAAAATGAGCGCGTGCCAAGCCAAGAAAAACGCAGAAATACCATAGCGTTAACGCGGGCGACGAGCGTGCCGAGCGAAGAAAGAACAAAATCCGATAGGGTTAACACGAGCGACGCCAATTTCGCGATTCAGCCCAACCTCCCGACACCCCTCGCCTCCCGGAGCCGTACCTCGGCAACCAACGGTCGCAGCGACACGCAGCTTGCACGGTGTGATGGAGCACGGAATGGGCCATCGCAATTCCGGGAGTTTTTTTGCGCCACGTAACACGTGGCGCGTATACACGTAATAATAAACTGATATCGGCCGTTTTTGACGCTGTTTTACGTTTACCGTTATATCTCGGCACGGAAAGAAGGTAGAGCCCGGAATGTTGTTTCCCAACATTAGCAATTGAAAGGGCTACATTTTCAGTGTGCACCGCGAGTTTGTGCAACGCACCGTTGCGCTGCAAATTGCATTACAGTTTGCAGCGGGCCGAGTTTTAAAAACCGAAGCTTAATACGAGCTGCTACCGTCCAAACTATGCGCGATCTGGCGTTGAAAACTACATCAGGGTGTTGGTCGATTCGTCCCGTGATTCCGTCGATGAGCCTACACTGGAAGGCTGCACATTTTCCCCGCGACAGCGGCAGGTTCCTACCCCGGCTCCCGGCGAACGCCCTAGGCGTTAAGGGTTAAAATAGTTTTTCACGCGGCGGGCATTCGGCTTTGTTCATTTAGGCACTATTTATGTTCAGGAACGAGCATTCATCCGTGTTTTCAGTCTGTCCGGCAGGTGGGCCACGGGTCCGGCGCTCACGTTGTCCACGGTACAGAATGTCCGAGGGTACAGAATGTCCAATGTACAGAATGTCCAACGTTCGTAATGCCCAAGGTACAGAACGTCCAAAATGGCCCCAGTGCGGACGTATTCATGATGTCTAAAGTACAGATTGTCTAAAGCACACAGCGCCCAAGGCACATAACGTCCAAAGTACACACATGCCCGGACAACAGAAGGTCCAAAGTGCGAAATGCCCAAGGTACACAATGTCCGAGGTACAAGATGTCCAAGGTACACAGTGTCCAAAGTACAGAATGCCCAATTTAGTTTCTAGGGCGGCCGTTGGGCTGTGAGCCTTAACCTCGATTGACTTCAACGGCGTTCCTGCAGGCCTCCGCCGCGCGCATACAGCCGGCCGATGTTACCGCCACTCGGCACGCAGTTCACAATCTGCCGCTAACCGTTGTCGTATGCGGTAGGCGGAATGACGTAGAAAGCATCTGTCCAATGAGAGAGCGACTCGGGACGACAGCGCTTGTGGGGGCCCGTGCGGCACCTCCCCCGCCCTGACGACTGCTCGGCTTTTATTGCCTGGTTATGATTAGCCCCATCTACCGAAGTGCGAGAAACTACATGCGCTCGGAAAGCCCGGTATGCGGTCCGGTTGTTCATTTCCAGTGACACATATCATTCAATTCCTTTTCGGCTCTGTGTCGCTGCCGTTCTTAGGAGAGGCCTGTAGCATCCTGCCCTGCGCTCACCACACTCTTGCTGTGCCTGTGTGAAGGCGGCCGTGGATCGTCTATTTGTCTACTTGCGTTGCGGCTCGACGATGCTTTCCTCTTGGTCGTCAGGAAAATTTGGGTCCACCGAACAGAACGTCTGATCATACGCGACCCATGTACCAAATTTCTGCTCCATGCCTTTAAGTTGGAACCGAAATTGTCGCAAGCTCTCTTGTTAAGCTTTCGCACTGTTGCTGAGTGCCTGGCCAGAGCTGAAAGTATTGGGCACAGTGTACGATATTACATAATCCAGAAAACAAATGCGTGCTGTGCCAAGATGCTGTCCGTAGCATAAAGTGCATAACGCTCGTGGCTGCTGTTTGATTTGCTGGTTTGCTTCGGATTTGCATTATTTGTACGAAAATAATCCGGAATTTGAATTTGGGGCACAAATCAAAGGATTTCACGCCAAGTGCCCCTCTCCCCCCCCCCCCTCCCCGCTTAAACCTGCATCTGTTTTTTAGTCATACATGGTTCCTTACAAAAAGTTGAAAATCGGCGCAATGTGTGCTCACCGAGCTCCGGACCCGCTCCACGTGGAAGCAATTCCGGCTGTTCGCTACCAATTTACACCTTCGACGCGCCAACGACAAGTGGTGACCCACATGACGAAGTCAGGCAAAAGAGTATTTGCTTCGTTGTATGTCAAAAAACCTACACTTTCGTTGTCCGGACAAAGCATACCGCTCTGTCCACTTTGTATGGAGCGCCATCGCCTGCAGACGCCAACGTTGGTGGCCATGGCGCAGCAGGGTTTGAATCCGGATTCCCACAAGGAGCTATTAGCTCTAATCACATTCATTACGCCCTCGCTCCTTACATTCACCGTGGCCTCAACATGTTCACCAAACTGCTGCTTTGCTAACACTTCAAAACTTCTGTGAACCAAGTGGCATTTCTACTCCATGGTACATTGGTTCTTAAGAATAATGCAGCCTTTTGCATGCAGCATGAATGCCCTGCTCATCTTCTGCGCGCTAAACCGTAATTGCTCTGTGGCTTACTAATATGTATTTAGCAAATATGGGTCCATTTCTTAGCATGAATGTCCTGTTTCTAGTGCATGCAATCAGTTCAACCGCATGCATGCGAGCTGAGAGCTAAGTCGTTCGATAAAAGCAACGTAGGGGGAGGCTCGCGAACAGACCCTGCAAGCAATTTTGCTTTTTTTAACTGACGAAGTTATATTACATTTAAGAAAGATTCGATTTTAGCGAAGGGACCGTTTTGCCTGACGTCATTTCGCGTAACTACATCCCTGATTGAGCAAGAAGTGACCGATGATGTGCAAAAGGAAAAGAACTCTGTTACTTTGTCGGCGTGATTTTCTTTACTGATAAGCGGTGCATTCCTTGCATGTATCTGGGTGTAATTTCGCTGAAGCAAAAACAGATCTAATAAGATATTTAGCAGGAATTTTGCAACCGCATTTCCAGGAAAAGACCAAAGGTATTTCAATTGTGACGCAATTGGAAAACACTGATGGGTATTTTTCACGACACTCAGCACTAAACCAATCGTTTGATTTCAACGTGGCAAAAAGCTCGTAATTATTAACAATGCAGGTGTGATCTCCGCACCAACATGTGTCAAGCACCGGATCTCATCAGCAGCTGTAGGTGCTGACCCTGCGTTGTTGTGTCGTTCGTGTCAATAGTAAGTTGCGAGCACATCTGGGTTAGGGATTGAGTACTTGTCATTACATTTTGTAGATATCGTCTCTCCTCGAGTGGTGTTATGCTCAGAAATAACGGCGACTTGCTTGTGTTCCATTTTCCAATTGTATTGCGCCCTCGCAAAGTGACAGCACTCTCCCAGTGCTCCCGCTGCTTTTATGCACCCTCATCGATTTCGTATGTCAAAACTTCAGTCGGCGCTTCATTACTGAAGTTGTGTTATACTAATGTTATCCTGGAGTCACAGTGGTTCTTGTTTTAACGAACCCTGTTTTTTTAAAAGAAAGGACCACTTCAGGCATTTGAAGTGTGTCGAAACAGATGGTTTATGCGCGTCATCGGAAGCCAATGTAGCACGATTTCGTACAGCGCGGATTTAACAAGTGAACTATGAGTCCTCTACGACAGACCACTTCGCTTAAACTTCCTGGTCTGCGCTGGTTCAACAAGCCATCATGGCCTCTACCTGGGGCGGCTCCAGCGACTCCGGGAGCAGCTCTGGTGGCTGGGACGGCTCCTGGGCTCCGATGGCCTCCAGCCGCTCCAGCGCCCGGGGCGGCTCCGGCGGCCTGGGAAGCTCCAGAAGCACCAGCTGCTCCGGCGGGTGGCCCGGCTTCGTGGCCTCCGGCGGCTTCGGCGGCTCTGGGCGGTCCGGGGGCTTGGGCGACTCCGGCAGCTCCGTGGCCTTCGGCGGCTTGGGCGGCTCGGGCGGCTCCAGATGGCCCGGGGGACTGGGCAGCTCCGGCAGCTCCGTGGCCTCCAGCGGCTTGGGCGGCTCCGACGGCTCTGGACGGTCCGGCGGTTTGTTGGGCTCGGGCGGCATGGGCTTCTTGGGCTGCTCCGGGGGCACCGGGGGCCGCGACAGCTCCAGCGGCCTGAGTGGCCCTGGCGGCTCTGGGGGCTCCGGCGGCTCCGACCGGCTGGGCGACTCTGGTGGGTCCAGCGGCCTGGGCAGGTCCGGGGGCTTCGGCGACTTCGGCGGCTTCAGCTGCCTGGGCCACTCTGGCGGGTCCAGCGGCCTGGGCAGGTCCGGCGGCTCCGGCGACTCCGGCGGCCTGGGCAGCTCCGGCGATTCCGGCAGCTCCGGCGGCCGGGAAGGCTCCTCCAGCCATGGCAGCTGCTGCTACAACCTGGTTGTAAGCGAGAAGGTAGACATTACAACCGAAGATAAGCCCTTAACTAACTGGAAACTCTCGCTCTACGAGGGACATGGAGGGCTTCAGAAGCCATTTTTCTGTCGTAAGTTGCGAACGGTGGTAACCACGGTTGGTAATATTTTGGGTAGCTGAGTCACCATGCATTTTGACGTTTTGCACACGGATGATGTTGCTAGCCGCGACGGGCGATGATCTATGACATGCCTTTCAAGGTCATGTCAGTGACGTTTCCCTCAGCAGTGACAAAAATGTTTAATTCCCCGGGAAATGCTTTCCACAGCCAGTTTTGGAGACCTCTTTTTCTTCGGCTCAATCTGAGGTGCATTAGTATCGTTCCGGTGTCTTTAAGGTCAGGCCACCCAAGGTAAAGCCAGGCCACGACTTGGCGTTTTCGACTGACTGCCTCTTTTAAAGCCGAACCATTTTAAAACCAAATGGCGTATGTGCTGCAACCTTTGAAGGCTTCTCGAACCATATCTTCCCCATTGATGCCGTTTTTTTGCCCTTGATAACGTCGAATGACCCAATGCAATAAGACCCCCCCCCCCCCCTTTGACCAGACATGACACACAAGGAATCACATGTGCCGATATGCACCAGAACGCTTTGCTACAGGGCCTTTCAAGTGTTATTCAACACCGTCTTGTACGTGGTCGTACCCTGCTTCGTTCCAACATTGGAATATGAATACAAAAACAATAATTTGATGTAAGTCACGTGATGCGACCCGTGAAAAGCCACATTTACTATTGTCAGGTCACACATATGCGATGAAATTTGGCGAAGTGCTCCAATATCATTTTCTGTTGGGGGTACATTGTTTAGCCTTAAAATATTAAGGACGGCCTATGGGTTTCCCTCTCACTGCTTCTCACGGCCAAGGTGAGCAAACTGAGGTTGCCCCTCCCTCCTTCCCAGGGTGAAGATCAGCAAACTCCCGTAGCGGGCGGTCGGTTAAACGGCTTAAACGTGGTATGGGCTCATTTTGGTATACCAAGGACAAAGCGCATGTTGAATAATTGACTTCATGCACCAAGTAAAGGCAGGTATAGACGGAAGTCGAAACCGTAACCTATAATTATGCCACCACCAATCTCCGAAAAGCGACTGAAAGACAGTCTTGAGCACCGAGCGTATACGTTTGGCACTTTCACAAAAGCTAAATGCGACACATTTTAATGCCTCCTGTTGAAATCTCTATTCGCCCAATGTTTAGTCCCTGGGTCCATGCTTCCGTGACTTGGATGTTCTCAAGTTAAATCTATCGCAAGCGTATGCAGGTTACATCTCAGTACTGATCACCTCAATCTTGGTATGTGAAGGCACCGCCGTCTTAGAGACGATATTCCCGGGGTTTGAAGCGTGTAACGTTTAAGGCTGCCAATTTGGAGACCAATCACAATCGCGGGATGTACCCAGCGCAAGTGCCTCGCACACCAAAGGCTAAAGACAGCGGCTTACGCAGCAGCTGTTCATTGGCTAGCCGACCGGCTAGCCAAATGTTTGCATAACATGTAGGACCTCGAGACCAACACTTTACACGCCCAAGCAGGTCACATATAGCCATTGGTCACCGTCATTTTGGTGCGTTTAGACAGACCTAAACAGACAGACGAACCCCGTCCGCGCGTGTTGGCCCATGACGCTGGGAAACTTATGCAGCAACACGTAGATGGGTACAACACTGGACTTCGGGCACTTTCAGGTGACCACCTTCCACGAAGTCTCGCCTCGCTAAAACGTACAAAGCACCCCTTTAGCTCCTCCGACTTGTATAAGGGAGTCACGGAAGAGCAAAATGTTTGCGGCCGGTATCCCTCACGGACTTAACAATGGGAATGCGATCTTTTGATGGCCTTGCCGTCAGATTCAGGTTGCATTCTGACGCGCGGAAGTAAAAAGGGATGCTGCGCCTTCAACAATGAAAGCCGGCTCAACCTGCAACAGTTTGCCACGTGCCGTTATTGCAATAGTTTCTCGAATTGTCCAGTCGGCGCGGCCGGGCTTCTGCTGACTGCATCCGCGGTGTAGAATATCTCGCGGCGTTGTGCTCATATCATAAAATCAACACCCACCTGTGTTCTGTTAGAATATTGCTTTGCAACCGACTTGCAAGTCAGGTTGGTTACAAGACAAGTGTGGTGGCATTGCACGGGATGCCAGGACTCGTCCGTGGCACTTCGCTTCCAGTCCGAGATAAGAACAACATTGCTCATCGAGCCCGCCCTAGTTAGGCAATACATTGAAGACGCCTTGGCAACACTTACATGCTCGCCACCACCAAGCGGTTCGATATTCCGCACCACTGCTGTGTGACGCCGGAACAGATGCTTTGCCGCCTCAAGGCACCTGGCTACCGTCCGGGTGCCGGCGTCTACTCTCGCCACTAGCATCCGCGGGCGAACGTTTATGGCGCTCGGCTCACGCCTCGCACGAACATGGGGATGGAGGACGCCGAGCTCTGCAGCCCTGGCGTTGCTGTTCGTGCTGGCGATGGACTGCCGCTGTAAGCACATCAGGAGGAAGAGTTGAACCACGCGCTGACGGACTGCACGTCAACTCAGAACTGAGGATAGATGAGCATACCTGTCGACCAGAGATTTGAGAGCAGGTGTGAATCTGACAGACCTATGGTACGTTTTAGGTGGTCAGTACAATTTCGCACAAATTTTAGAATGCCGTGTTTCAGCCGAGTCCGAACTCAACTTATTTTTAGCTGCATACAATAACACGGGAATTGTCACTATCTTCACAATGCAACAGCTGAGGGTTCGCAATTACAATTACAATTACAACAGTTCACAATTAGGTAAGCCGCGATGCTGCTTCGCACCATAACCATGGACTGCCGGCGTTTGACACGGGCCAGCTCGCTATCAGGTAAGCTGATTTTCAATGCCGACGTTGGACGGTAGTCCATGATGATCTTTTATCTCAAGTCACGTGCAGATGAGGGAACCGCACGTAAGTCCAAATACGAATGAAAGCAAACACTTCGTGCTGGTTGGGCGTCCTGTAATACCATTTCGAAATAAAGGTCAACTGGACAATGACCAATGGTGAACTTTCGGAGAAAGTGGCGTTGCGGCTGAAAACCGGACGTTGTCAAATTTAGAAGCGAATGTCATTCTTGCATTCACTAGAGATATACTAGACTAGATATATTAACTAGAGATACACCCCTGAAAGCTGGGTACAGGTCAACAAGGCCGGTGACATATGATGCCAGCAGAGAACAATATGTAGCTCAGGTAGTGACAACGCTGGGTAAAAATATCTTCACAGGAAAAATTAAACCATACCACAGCACATTACCAACGAACATGATTTTCAAGACAGTTTCGGTTCAACGTATGTAGTCAAAACCTATGAAGGCCATTGACCTGCCATGAGCCGTGCCCTTACATGTAACTGCACATTCCAAAATGGTGTTTGGTAAGAAATTGCAAATTTGTGTACAACTACAATCATTCTGAAGTTATCATAACAAGCGTTACTAGAAGATATACGCCCTTATCAGTGCACGGGTCAAATACCAAGCATAAGGAATATTGGCTGAGATATTCAGCCGTTTCAAGCAAACGTGTTAAGGTACAACATTTTTAAGCTTTCCATCACGTGCGATAATCATTTCTAACAAACAGTCGCAGATCCAGGCATGACAAAATATGAAGTACTTACGTCGTTGGCCTTGGCTACGAACTGCCAGAAGTTGGGGTAGGCTGCGGGGGTGCTGGCACCTAGCCAGCGAAAAACGACTGCGTCGTTGTTTGTACGCCGCTCCAGGCCATGGCATGGCGGTCGGCCGGCGGGCGCGCCACTGCCTCGCCATGTATGCCTTTGAGGCGGGCCACTTGCGGCCCGAGCTCAGGCTCTACCTGTAAAACGGAATGGTTGAAAACGATTTCCGAAACATCGCTTGGAAACGTGGGTTCAGATTCATGGAAGATTTGCGTGAAATTAAGGAGCTTTGCTACGGAGTATGGATTTGCATTGCAACATCCTTTCAGACAGGACTTCCTCACCTTCAGCAGGACTTCATGGCTTCAGTGATACTCAGTCAGCTACACTATTGATAACAAGCTGATATGAACGTGCTGAGAATTTGCTTTTATATGATTAACAGGTCCCCATGTACGTGATACGAACTGAATCGTAATTAGAGAAGGCATTCATCATTACCAAACATCTATGTAAAGCGAGCTGTCAGAATGTGGGACCGTTGTCGGCACTCATAATGGTCAAGAATGCAGTGACCACATAAAAGGGCGCAACTTCGCAACTCCCGTCACCTCAGGCACGTTGGGGTCTAGGAGGAGCTCCCAAGCCGTGTGAAGGTGGCGAGCGGGCACCAGGGGCAGCACCAGGAGCTTCCGAGCCCAACGGGCGAAGGGGTACTCCCAGTGAGGCCTCCCGTAGGTGGCGAGCAGACCATGTCGCCTGATCTACAATTGACAAAATGGGTCAGAACGTTCGGATGGCGACTATTTCTACGGTCGCGCGTACGTCTAGTCACTCAGCCAATGCACAGCAATCGTAGGAACTCCGGATGTTTGGTCCCTAAAGCATGTTCTCGTCAGCCAAGTCGGAAACGCTTCCTGTACGTTGAACGCCAAACAACTCCCGTTCTCGATGTTTTGAAGAACAACTTATGTACCGCTGCACTATCCATGGAAACGTTCTCTATACAGCGAACAAGACCCCATAGGAGAACACCTGAACGAGCAATGATATTTTCGGTGAAGTAAAACTAGCAGCCTTCGATGCTTTCTATCAAGGTGAAAAGCATTTCGGTATTGCAATGGTTGTGTGATGGGGTCGGAACCAATACCAAGTTGTAATGTG